TAGCAATAGCGGCGCGTAAAAGTGGCGGCGATGTTAACACTGGCTTATGCCAACGGTGATGTGGGCGTTGGACTGCGGTACCCCACGTGCTGAATTCGACTGTCTGGCGAAGCGGCTGCATTGGCCTGAATGTGGCTTTTCTACCGAAGATAGTCAAGTGGGTGGGTTGGGCGAAGCATTCTCGACCGAGAGGAGAAGCTCAACAAGCCGGAAGATAGACGAGTGGAGTGTGGAGGGGAGGCGGAAGAAAGACACAATTCTTCACATGAGCCCCGGACACAAAGGACAGAGGTGTTAAGCCGTAAGTGGCAGAGATAGCGAGAAAAATATGGGAGAGACTTCATCACAAATAGACCCACTCAGGAGCCTATTCACATGTCCAGGCATACACTCAATTAGGCTTATATGAATGCGCACAGACGTAACCAAAAGCCCGTTCGGGTAGAGGCAAACATTGGACACGAGTTAATCCGACGTTGGGAGTGGACAAGAAGCAAGAAATTAGGTTATTTTATTCGGAGACCTTAGGGTTTTCCAAAGCCCTCGTACCCGCATGCTGGTCGTGTGTGGACAAAAGGTATGCCGGAGGTTGTCGTGCATGAGCCTGGGGGAGAACATGAGTAGGAGGGAAGCAGTTGAAGGTGGAGAAGGAGAATATTAACTAAGCCTATAGTACACGGTGGTGCTGTTTCCAAAGCTCTTGCCACCTCGACTCAATTCACTTCATAGCAAATAGGGGAATCTACAAGTGCATAACGTGGCCGGATCCCTTAGCTTCAGTTCGTCCAAAATGGCTATGAAGGGAGTAGGAAAAGTGAAACCAACTCGAATCACTTCACACTGGTGCTGGTAGAAAGTGTGTGAATTCATTTTCTCACAACCAATTCACAAGAAGATCTTTTAACAATGCATATATGCCAAATTCAGCTCTCGAATTGCCATGACTACACAAGTGTATTGAGATGCGCTATCGAAGCGATACAGGCATATGCTTGATGCCAGCAAAGCAAGGCTTACTGACGGTGCTGCATAAATGATAGTGAAACACCCGGGAATATACCAAATCAGTGATCCGGGCTGGGAAAATTATGCCAATTTCTATGAAAGAGAAATTTTGGCAAGGCGCATTTATCTGGATCGCCTTGACAAAACGACTAAGTTTCGAAGACTGCCACCAAAATGGAGGCTTCACTTCTTGATATTCATATCTAGTTTGCTCATGTTATTATTACTCATTCATTTAACGTTGGCAGGTTTAAGTCGTCAGTTTACTAAAAGCACAATCCTTTCGACTCAATTATTAGTAATCTAAAAGTAGGGAGCACTTATTGAAAAGAATTTAAATGCATTTTCACAAACTTGTGATATGGGCTTCGCCTAACTGAACTCACTAGCTCATTTACTTCATAAATTATTCGAGAATTATGGCTTCAAATAGAAATATTTGGTTTGCCTTATATACAGAGATATAATATTTTGGTATACTACACC